ATGCTAATACATAGTGATTGCCATAGGTAGCCAGTGGTCTTTTTAGACCTCTCAATGAACACAGGTAATTCAGCAAGAGATTCTTCATGTCCTTCATTACATCTATTGTGTTAGGTACAATATTTGAACAGAGTAACTGTGCCACAAAATAGAAATACCTGCAACAATGAAACAATGAAAAATATAAATGCTGCCAATACTAAAAGAGCCATGTTTTTTAGAAATAGATTTGGCATTTTAGATAAATGCCAGTTTTGTTCTGCTCCCATAAAATCTAAATATAATTTAAAGTATATTTTCACATTCTATTTCTCTATAATTTTTGTTAACATTTCTTGCCTGTAGTTCTCAACTTAAAAGCATAACTAAGCCCAAAATTATTGTCATAAGTCATGCCAGTCATTAAGTGGGTCAGTATGTGACCAACCTGATTTTATAACTTTTTTGCAGCAGTCATTAAGCAAATGTGGCAGTAGTAAAGCAAATGCAGCAGTTATTAAGTAAAATCCATGATTGTTAAGTGAACTCATTTTCTACAATGAGCATTGTTTTGCCAATAACTAGAAGCAAACATCCGTTTCCAGCAAAAAACAAACAAACAAACCACAAATCCTGATCATGTATCCATGAAATGTTGCAAACAGTGGTGACGCTCAAATTTTTTCCTTACCTGTTCGGTGGCTGCAGCTTGGTGGGAGGGTCCTGTGACTGAGTGAGCTTGGCCAACTTGACATTACTCACGTCCAAGCCCACTTAGTCATATGACTCTCCTACCAAGCCACGCCCACAGAACTCAATAGGAAAAAAAAAGAATTTCTACCTATCTATTTTCTGCCTGAGCCTGGCCTAATCTGTCAAAGGCCTCCCACTCTCCCTTTGTCAGTACTGTTTCCCTTCCTTCAGAGGCCTGGACCTATCCCTACTTCCTCCCCCATGACCACCTATTTCATTGGGTTTACCTTCCTCCCACAACTGGCTGCCAGGGAAGGCAAGCTAGAGCTCAGCCGTCGCTGCTAGGCTCTCCACCAGCGTGCATCTAGTCCCCCTTTCCACAAGATTCCTGCTGTTGACTTTTTTTGGGTGCAGATGAATGCTTCTTGCACCAAAAAAGAGATGGCTGCTGCAGGCTTCTTGCAGCAATTTTTTTCCCAACCTCCATCTGCTATGCTTCTTGAGTTCTTGAGTGCACCAGTTTCAGCCCTGTTATATGCACCGGCCACAGATGCGGACCTCATTCCCTGCATGTGCAGAGTGGGCGGATCTTGTGATCCGCTACTGGATCACAAGAACCGGATAGAACCGGCTGAATACCACCACTGATTTTTATTCTTTTAGTGCTTTCAAATATTTGGCTTCAAAGAAGAGGAGATGAAAAACTGGACCGATGCACGTGATCACTGCAAAAACCTAGGAGGAAACCTAGCTTCTATACCAAACAAAGCTGTTCAAGGTACAATCACTTCTCTAAATCATATTGACTATCAACATTTCTTTTAAAATCCAGGAATATTTTCTTAAGTAACTTTTATAGAAATTATTATGATCAATCTTAACCCTCACCACTCACCCTAACCCTAAGCGTCAGTTTATATAAGTTTTGCCACTTGAAAGGACCTGAAAGATATGAAAATGTT